TTTGTTGTCTTCTTTATTGCTTATTTATATTCCGCTGCATAAGGGAACCAGCACAACTGGTCCCTTAACCATAATTCGAAAAGAAGCAAAATTAGCCAACGATTACTTAACACTCAATTCACCCCCCCCTCTTGAGTGCCCATTGAACCTTCAGTCGTTATCCAAGGATGCATTAGATCGGATAATGGTTCTTCTAGAAATAAAAGATGGAGATGGTGTCAGTCCCGGAGATCTATTAGCATCTATTCAAGACCTTCCACAACCTGTAAGTATACTTTTACTATACCTATTATTTTAGTGGGTAAGGATGTTTTTATGAAATCATCTTCAAATTGACTACCACTTTTGTTAATTTTCATTGGCCATTTTTTTTTTTTTTTTTTTGGTTGCTGTCAAACTTAATAAAAATGAGGACATTTTGTAAGAAATTACAAGCCTAAATTTTTGTGAGAAACTACCTAATAAAAAAAATATTGTAAGAAACTACCTAATATAATATAAAATGTTGTAATATACTACCTTTGATCGAATTTCCACCGTTGACCTAATTTTAGAAAGTTTATCCACCTTAGAACATCTCCAAATAAAATCATCGTTAGGGTTAGTTTAAATAGTTCTTAAGGTGGTAAGGTTATTTTCGGGGTGGTTGGAGGATATTCCGAGTTGGTGATGATATATTAGTGCTTTAGGATGGTGGTTTTTAGGATTAGAGGTGATGATTTTAGGTTTGAAAGGTGGTTTAGATGTGGTGGAGACGATTTCTAGCAAGTTGTGTTAGTTTTGGGAGTAAAAGCGGTGGTTTTGGGAGTGTATTGAGATCGATCAACGGTGAAAATTCGGTATAGGTAGTATATATTTTACGACATTTTACCTTTTATAAGGTAGTTTTTTTTACAACATTTTACCTTTATTAGGTAGTTTATTACAACATTTTTTTTATTAGTTAGTTTCTCGCAAAATATTGGTTATATTAGGTAGTTTTTGACAACCCTAAAAATGATTATCTTTTCTAAAATTTCATATTTTTTTTAAAATATATATATATATATATATATATATATATATATATATATATATATATATATATATATATATATATATATATATATATATATATATATATATATATATATATATATATATATTATGAATTCATAATTTGTTTGTTATATGCTTACATGAAATATACATGTTAAGAATAATATGGAAAATTTCATTTGATGTAGTTGGAGAAGCTTTTGAGTAGGTATCCAGATAAATTGCAAGGTTACCGAAGTGGGTATGGTATTTCTACGAAGGAGATGAACGAATATGTGAACACAATGGGTGTTATAGCAGCACTTTTGGCGACAATATCATTCACAGCAGCATTCACTGTTCCTGGTGGAGTGATCCAAGAAGATAAAGATAAGAATGTTATAGGGAGTCCACTTCTTGTAGACGTGATAGCATTTCAGGCCTTTATGTTCTTTGACATATCGACAATGTGCTTATCAACAATGGTCTTATTTTGCCTTCTTTGGATCCTGGCTGCTGACACCAAACGCAACTCGGTGATGTTGATGGATTTTAGCATCTTGCTGCTCTTAATATCGTTCTACACAACTCTTTTGACTTTCATGACAGGAGTGTATGTCACAACCATCCATGTTAAGCCATGGATCGCTATATATACTCTGGTAATATGCACTACACTGTTATTACTCATGCACAAATATATCGTCATCTAGTATCTCGGACCATTTGGTTCAACCTTGTCTACTTCTGTTTCAAAGTTTATCCGGCGCATCACAAAGCAGGAGAGCAAAAACAAGGAAGAAAAGTCTGGTGATGTGTCTCCAACACATACTCCGCCCACCGAAGCAGAAAAGTAGGGATCAGATCAACCATTGCATATGTCTATTACTAAGAATACATGTTATGTTATTTTTTTTTTTTTTTTTTGGTTTTTTTTATTGCAAAATTTGGATTGTATAAGCTTGTATTTCACAACATTGTTTTTAAGCGTGTATCATTTAATAAATAAATACATGTTGCATGCAGCATGTTTATATTTTATATTTATTTTTATTTTATTTTTTTTATTTTTTTGTGTGTGTGTTTACAGAGCCACAAGGGCGGGGTGAGAATCGATCTCATGACCTTCTAGAATCGGGAGGGAAGCTCTAACCACTTTAGTTATCCATCACTCTCTGCACGCAGCATGTTTATAATGGTAACTAGTTTTAATAACATAATAACTCATGTAATGCTAACTGAGTAACCTCTAACACTGACTAAGTAACCCTTATCTATAACACTGATTGAGTAATCACTATATATAATAATGACCAAGTAACCCCTATAACACTTTGTATATGTTTGTAATAATTGGTGACACAGTTCTGCCAACTACGAATAAAAGTTTAATTTGTAAATAGGACTTAGTACTATTTTAGAAAAGGACATTAGAGGTGTGGCTTTTCCACACCTAATCCCTCCATGTTTTTTTATCTTTTTAAAACAAATTTAAGGATGAAAATAGAATTAAGTTATACAATATTTATTAAAATTTATGATTAATTTGTGTAGACAATGGAAATATAATTAAGTTAGAGAATATTTATTAAAAGTTATGATTTATTTTGTATATATAAAATATTAGAATTTTATAGATAATATGAAAATGGACATGGGCAACCAGAACAAGGAAGAGGAGAGTTTGGTCCACAAACAAGGCTTAGGAGCTTTCCTACTAAAACCAATTGGCAATAGTAGGAGTCACTCCTCAACCCTATAATGTAAACCATCTCTCCACTTTTTCCAATGTTGGACACTAACAAGTGGGCTACAATGGGTTTTAACAAAATTTTATATTTATTTTTATTTTTCATAGTGTAAAAATTTGAAATATAAAAAAAATAAAAAAAAATCGTAATAAATGAGGATTTACAAATAATATGTCAGTCATCTACCATATACGGATTGACATTTATCAGGTTGCTACTAGCTGAGAAGTTAGGTACTCTTTATAATTTAAGCAGTGAAATTATTGACATATTACACCTAACTAAATTATTTAACTCTATTTAACATTACTACAAAAATTATAAGACTTCATAATGATTATTGCAAATGTAATAAAACAACTATTTAAAAACTGATAGATATTATATTTATAATACTACGGAGTAGTAATTAATATTGTGTATATTAGGATAGATTTTATGTATATTTTGTATCTTTATCTTACTAGGTTTCCTAACGAGATTAGGACTAGTATTGTAAACTCTATATATATTGATTAATAGTACACACTCTAATTCGAAGAGTTTTCCTAAAACCTAACATGATATCATTATAACATAATATTTGAGGACTTGATTTTAAAAAAATAAAAAAATAAAAAAAAAATTTACGGAGTAGTTTCGACTTGTTGGTATAATAAGGTAATATCGTAACATATATATGACAGTATAGTTGATTATTATATAGGTTCATTATAGGGTAACATATGGCCGTTATATGAGCATATAGCGGTATAGTTGATTATTACGTACTCATATAGTCATATGTTATTTATTAACTTCGTATTTAATTTAATAACCATTGCACCCATTATAGTTCGTATTATATAGTTGATTATTATGTAGATTATTATTGTTGGTATCAACTAATAACTCAATAATTAACTTTGTGTAGGTTATTACTTATTAATTATGTACAGAAAGAGTCACATGTGAAGAAATTTAATCTGTATTATAATGAATATTATGCCCTACCAAACCCAACGTTAACAAATTAAATTGAATAGTAATTTGAAATGCATTGAAAAATTGAGTGATAATCAATTAATGCATGCAAAATCAGGTAGGGAGTACTATATACTTACCAACCAAACCAGTGCATGTAATTCAATAAAATCAGAATTCATCGTCACCTCTTCCATACTAATTGGGTTGCCTCCCTCATTTATGAGACCCAACATACATAAGCGAGTAGCAATTACTTTTGGGTCACAATTAAGACTAATTGGTGCCGCAACCTACCAGATCTTCCAGATGGAATACATGCATGTATTCTTTCTTACTACCGGTCTCGAGTGACTCACCATACTTTGATCGACAAATAGTTTTATGTAACCTAACTTGTGACGTAGGTTTCATGTGATCTATCAAATGTTCATATAATTTGAATATATGATATAGCACAACTGCACAAGTGTTGTTGATAATTTGAGGCTAAATAAGTTTTAAATAAATGATTAAAATTGTACGGAGTACATTGATAACTATAAAAGTCAAAATATATATTGCTACGTATATACGTGGACTTTAGAGTTAGAAAGATTGAACATGTACCAGACAAGGCACGATTTATCCTTTAATTCAAGAATATATTGTATGTGAATTGTCCCGTCAATTGAACTTGTTGCAGTATGGCACAAAATGGGATGTACTTCGAGAAAGATTGAAATGAATGTTGTAAAATTGACTAGAATTTAATTATAAAAAAAAAATGCACCCATTATAAATAGTTGAATAGATTATATATTTGAGGTAGTAAACTTTTATTAATTGTTAGTGAAATAAAAAATAAAGAAAGAAATATAATATTTTTTTTAAAAAAAAATTGTCTTATTTATAGATGGTACTTCCTCTTTCTCTCAGAAAGAAAAGAAAAAAAAAAAATATATATATATATATATATATATATGGGACTTCCTCTGTCACTTTTTTTTTTTTTTTTTTTGGTCCATTAATTAGAAGTCGGTTTAATTTGGTTATATTTATGTTAAGTTTATCTTATTACTTGTAGGAGTTTTAGGTTAATTAGGTTTCCTAATGTACTGTGTATATATGTGTGATTATTATATATCGATGCAAGGTTAAGCCGTTTTCTCCAAATAATTAGGTCAAACTTGAAAACTTTTACCATAAATTTCCGATAATCTATTATAAGAAATTATATGTTCATGTGAAAATATATGTATTTTAACACGCGTTTTAAAAACCGCGTTAAATCAAATAGGGAAAAAAAAAAAAAAGACTGAGAGAATACTGGATAATTTAAAAATGAGGTTAAATCAAAATGTGAACTTTTCGAGGACGGTAAAATACACCCTATCTCAATAAGGGTATTTTATTCACCAAGAGTATATTCATTAAATGAGCCTTATTTGTTCACTTCTAGAAAAAATATCACATGCCTTATAAAATCCACCCAAATGCACCACAACTTTCTAACTTCAAAAATATCCCACATTACCCTCAAATTCAACTTTGTGCAAATCAAAAACAACAACAACAAAAAAAAAATGACCTCGAAACTCTCTTTTCCTCACTCTTCTCACACTCCTCTCCTAACACTCATCTTCACACTACTCATCTTCCTCCTCTCATCAACCCTACCATTATCATCCTCCATTACACCTCCAAAAAACCAATCACCCTCAACCCGTAAACCGTTCTCGAAAATCTACGCCTTCGGAGACTCCTACACAGACACAGGCAACACAATTTCAGCCACAGGACCATCAGGGTTCAACTTTGTATCAAATCTCCCTTATGGTATGACCTACTTCCACCACCCCACTAACCGATACTCGGACGGTCGATTAGTCATTGATTTTGTTACACAAACTCTATCGCTCCCGTTCCTCCCCGCTTACCGCTCCACCACTAGTGGTGGAGCGACCAACGGTGTAAACTTCGCCGTAGCGGGGTCGACAGCGATAGAGCATGCATTCTTTGTAAAGAATAATCTCACCTTTGATGTAACCCCTGAGTCGTTAGGGACTCAGTTGGGTTGGTTTAACAAGTACTTGGCAAAACAAGGTGGGTGTAATGATCCGGTGAAGTGTGGTGCATTGTTTAATGATGCGTTGTTTTGGGTTGGAGAGATTGGTGCTAATGATTATGCTTATGCTGCTGAAACTGAAGTTAGCAAGAGTGTTATTCGGAATTTGGCTATTACAAGAGTTTCCAACTTTCTTGAGGTAATTTTATAGTTTAATCATCATGATTTGCTTGTTTTTACTAATTACCATGCACATTATATGTAATTACAATTCCTAGGATGGATCTTGGTTTTGTAACTTAGCTCGACAAATTATTATTATACAGTTGTGCAGATTTAGTTGTCACGTTATTAGTTCAAATTACACTATTAACATAACAATTTAATCATCATTTGTCATCATTATTAACATAATGACACAAATCTAATAAGACGTAAAATAGTGTTTTTCTTTGATTAACATAGTTCAACTTAAATAGCCAAAATAGATTATGAATGAAACAAAAATCAAAACATTACAACGAAAAAAAATGTACTAAGAAAAAATGTACTAAGACTCCAAGTCTCCAAGAGATAAAAGTACTCAAAATATGTTTCCTTTTGGCATTTTTTTTCTTGCTGCCATTGCAACTTAAAAATAGTAAGAGTTGAAATTTGAGTAAGACGGTCCAGAAAGTTGTACATCAATTTCCTATATTACTAGTAGTCAGTAGAATTTAACACTGTCCAACTACTGCCAACTACCGTAGTTATGAATTTCATAAACGCTACCTAATGTTGTTCATAAATTGCCCTGCCACCCACTTAATTAGAGGTAGTTATGGGCCAAAACGGGCTGGGCTTGGACCGGTTTAGTTGTTGGTAGTGGGCTCAATAAGCCGTAAACCTAAATGGACTAAGTAGCCCACTTTGAGCCCATAATGTCTAATCTAATTATCTAAATTTAACTTGAATAACATTCTAATACATTTTTCTACTTTCACACATTGCAGGCAATACTAAGGAAAGGAGCAAAATATGTAGTAGTACAAGGCTTGCCTCCTACAGGGTGCTTAACACTAGCAATGTATTTAGCACCAACCAATGACCGAGACGACTTAGGCTGTGTTAAAAGCGTAAACACCCAAAGCAACACTCACAACACCCTCCTCCAAGCTAAAATACAAGACCTTAGAAAGAAGTACCCTAAGTCGAACATCATCTATGCTGATTACTACAATGCATACCGTGACATCATGAAGAACTCGAAAAAGTATGGGTTCAAGGAGGCCTTTAAAGTATGTTGTGGCTCTGGAGGAGGCTCCTACAACTATGAGTTCTTCTCGGTGTGTGGATCTCCATCTGCAAAGCCGTGCCCCAACCCTTCGCAGTACATGAATTGGGATGGAGTCCACTTGACGGAAGCCATGAATAAGGTTGTATCGGGATTGCTCCTACAAGGAGGGTACTCTCACCCTTCGTTTCAGGATTTGATCAGTAAGAAGATGAGTCAGTTATAAGATCTTTAAGTTTTAGATGATGAGTTATATTCCTATATGTAAGTTGATAGAGTTACAATATTAGTAGTAATAATAATATGAATTACTTTGTATTAGTTTTGCCGTTTTAGGCACATTATATATCAGATTTCTTGTTAGTTTTTCCTGCACAAAGGTATTATTGCTAATTTGCTATTATTATCTCAAATGTGCATCAAAGATATGAGAGTACACTAATCACAACCAATGGGCAATTGGCACTACAAGTTGGTTCGATACAGGGTCAATAAGGGCAGTTATAGGCAGTCACAGGACCACTTCAAACCGGTCTGACAGTAATCTGAGCCTGTGTGGTTGAAGCCTCGGAACAATTGCAAGGAGCAAGGACCATACTGTTAAATTGATACCAGGAAGGTTCACCCCAGGACCAGTTCTCAGCTCAATTTTGGAAAAATAAACTTCCCTAGGTTCATTAATTCCATCTTACCATAGACCAGACACGACACACCTTCTCCACACCAAGGTCAGGGCCAATTTAGCGAGCAGGGTAGGTTTGATCAGGCCTGACTACCCAGATGGACCAAGTCCACTCTCCTGTCATAACTAATTCAACGTTTCACACCCCGTAGGGAACAAGAAAGGACAAACCAACCAACCATCCATCCTTGGTTTTAAAATGAGATCAAGGCCTGCCTACAAAATATTCAGATGTAAAATGAAAAATAATTTGCACCAGGACTCCAGGAGGCAGGACTTATAGCAGCGAAGCATGAATATCAGAATAAGCAGCCTGATAGTTGATGTACACTGAACCATATACATTATTCTACATTTTGAAGAAGCGGCTTTTGCAGAAAATTATTTACACTTTTTGGATTACAATTTCTTTTTAACTCTGTACAAATTTCTTTCTGATTTAGCATCATTAGATTAAGTACTCGTAATACATTAAGAACAGAGCATCGGGAACATCCTTTGGCAAGCTGTTTATGTAGAGATACAAGCGCAATATATCCTCCTTCATTACAGTTTTTGGGTCAACCACATCAGTGCCGCAGGTCAGAACCCAGAGGTCACCTGACTGAACTCTCTTTATACTACCCCGGCAAAATGGACAGGACTCTGACCTCAAGTTCCTGCATATACATGCAAAATATGAGGAACCAAGGACAAAACTAGCTTGGGGTATTTGTCATCAACTTGTTGAGATTTCAAAGAAAAAGTTATTTGACGATTCAACTTACCAGTCTCGATAGCAATTGATGCACATGGAATGACAGCAATTGGGCAACACCATTTTGGTGCAAGGCTCCAAGCAAATTCCACACTCGTCTTCCCTATCGAACTCAATCTCTGAAAGCTTTCTACTCTCCTGAGCAATCTTTCTGACTGCCAATTCAGAGCTGTTACTCACATTTGCACCCTCGTCTAGCTCAGATAAATTCCCGTGAAGTCGTTGAAGATAGGGTAAGATAATAGCTGCAGATCCACATTCAAGGACCAAATTATCTTCTTAAATCTTAATTGGGAAGTTCAATTTGAAAATTAAATGTTTCTAGCAGGTAGCAATTATGACTTTTTATGACAAGTCAAAGAAGCAACAGGCTGACAATTCTACAAGCAACATCCTTATCAGAAGACATTGGTTTATTAAACATGTCCAGCAAATATCTTTGTCTATCAAACAACGGCAGAGTTTGGAAATTTTGGCTACTAACAGAAGACATTGGTTTATTTTACGAACTTAAAAGTTTGACAAAGTGTCAATACATATAAGTCATGTTAAATCAACCGGCAAGGGCATAAATGCATAATGCAGGACACCACAACAAGCATCACCAATAAGCGTCTACAGCTATATTAACATCCAAAAAAAAAAATATAAGAGAGGAAACATTAGTCAATCTTTATCAAAAAAATTGCAGGGAAACCAAGGCCCCGCCCACATCTTCCCAACCTCGAAGGCAGGGGAAGAAAAACAGTCAGAGCCTATGTAAAAACGACCAAAATCGTAGCCTCATAGGGCCTCTTCTGGAATTCCTAACTTGGGAAATGCAACTATATGGGCTCGAAAACGCAGAATGTCTGTAATGCTCCCGGGACGCCCAATAGCCTCATTAGTGTTTGCTTCCTGATTTATATGGGATGTCTAGCAAACCTCCTCTCACCACATCCTCTCTCCATCTCCATATTGTCTCCATTAACTAACCTACTAATTAAAGCAGTCAATCACCTACGAGGCTACGACCTACCTATATTGTGACTGATTGATAGTAAAACAGCAAATTAATCAAACTTGCAGACTGCAAGAAAGGACATAAGAGACACTGCCAAATCATTACACCGCATTTAGTGTAAAATAAATTATTTGTCAGAGATTGGTCTTTTAGTTGCAAACAAAGACTATATAGGTAATCTCAGGCAAGCGCTATAAATGGTGGCCCTAGAAGCAATGGCATCAATCCATAAAGAGGGGTATCAGTATGTATGTCAGTTCCGCTCCCATCAAATTTTAGCAGTGAGAAGGGCAAAGGATATAGTTGCCAAGTAGGTGAGACATCTGGTTTCAGTATTCCCTTGGTTGGCAATACAAGGGGATCTACCCAATAGAGATGTCTGGGGTTATAGAAGGTCAGTGGAAAGATGTGAAGACATGAAGATTGAACTTTTGCCTTATCTTCAATTTAGAATATAATGGTGACTAACTTATTAGCAGCATAAATCCGAACAGCATGGTGATTGGGTATAGAAGTCAGAACTGATGGACTGAGGCTGTAAGCTGTCCTGAAATTGCTAATTCACATGAAAATGATCTTTATCCTTAATTATCTAAGTGAAAAAGAGAGTTTAAGACTAAACCAAGTACAAAAACAAACCAGCACAAATAAAATTACTTCCTCAAGTAAGTTTGTTGATACGGTTCTAAAGAAAAAGAGAGAAATTTTGTTAGCAGAGAAAAAGCAAGCTAGATTTCATCTGGCTATCCTAGGTTAAGAAGGGAGAGAAATTCTCAATTAGGTTAGTAATGCAGACAAATTCATTAAATTTCCCAAGGGCTTAGCTTGAGAAGAAACAGATATAGCAGAAGGACTAGACAATGTCCTTGACATTATTATTCTTGATAGGCAAAGTACCCAAGTATTCAAATCGGAATACCATGAGCAACAGAACCAGTGTTTGTCAAGGAAAATAATATCCCTCAAAAGTCCCAAAAAAAATGGGTGAAAGGGGATGAGATGGAAACAAGTAGATAAGTGGCTTTATAACTAATATTTCTTCATATTTGAAATACAATTTCTGCTCTTACCTAGAAGAGAAAACAACAATTTGCACATATTACAAACAACACCATACCATTTAGTTATAAACTACAAGATTAAAGTGATAAAATGCGGAAATTAAAAGGAAGAAGAGGAAGCTTGAGTGATATAATCTGGAAAACAGTAGATAGGTAAAAGCTTTCAAGAAGCTTACTCTCTCCCAAAATGTAAAGCAAACTCATAACAAACTCTCAACAATATTCAACATGAAATTCTCTCCCTAATCTTCTCTAATTTATAGCATCTCTCCTCTAACCAATTCACTTATCTTCCTCCTCACGATACAACTAACATAAGCATATTGCACTACCTATTATGCCCTCCAAATTTCCTATAATACCAGCTCATACCAAATTACAGTGAAGCTACAACAAGGCAACTAATCATAGCAAACATAATGCTAATGCAAAAATGTCTTCATAATCATGCAAGCAAAAAGGACTTTCCAGAATCCAAAGTTGCATATTACTTTAATTTATTTTTGTTATTATAACTCACAAGTCACAAACAACCTCAGAATATTTGCAAAAAATTAAGACCTTAAGTAGTTAGATATGAGAAGAGAGTTTCCCATTGTCATTCTTCTTTTTATTCAATAAGCATAAACTAGTCTCTGTACAAAAACAGAGTACAACTGTACAATAAACTAAAAAGACATCATTCATTTACATACCATAGAACTCCCTTAAGGTTGCTCTTCTTCCATACGACGAGATATCTGGTCTACCATCTGCATTTACCTGTAAGCTATGATAACATATTATTCGGGGCAACAAGATCATCTAATTATTCATTTTCAGTTTGTATCCCCATAACTACAGAAACTTTGAGGTAAAACTTGAGAAACTAACCTTGTATACAACAACATAGAAAAGATTCAAGCAGCTTGGAAGTAAACATGTACACGAGCAATCAATCCACTGGAGCAAGTAAAGGATAAGGGGAGCCAAGTCATTATGAACTAATTTCATCTGAAGCCAATTGCCACTTTTATTTCTAGGAATAGAAGCAGCCCTGGAAATGACGGAAAGAACCAAGAGTCAGGTAGCCATTACAATCAAGTAATCAACATTAGGCATAAGGAGCCTATAACATACAATTCTCCATGTATTTCCTTAAGTTACATTCAAGTCGAAAAAATTATATGCCATCATGAAGGGACAAAATCAAAATGATTCCTAGAAACTCGCTTGTGCTAGAACTAAGATTGAACCTAAATACTAAAGGGGTCGCTCAATACAGTGTTCAAACCAATTATCCTCCACAATCAATGTTCAGAACATCTCGAAACCAATCCTCCTGTCTAGTGTCTACTGATATGCTGAAAACTCAAACATCAAAGAACACCACAAAACAAACCCCAAATTAACCTAGCCATGAACTGATAAACCTCCACTTTGTTTTAGGCTGGTCAAAATCAGGATAATCACTAAAAATTTCCAAACTAGTATATTCAAAACTAAAGATGCCACAAAACACTTAAAAATTCTCTCAAAATTTTATGAACGCCCAAATTCCATAATCACAAAGGTCCATCAAAATACATATTCTTATACTCGTAAGATATCAGCAAAGTAAACTAAATCAAACTATTCTATCCCTTTAACATCTCCATCTAAAATTCAAAACGTCTTAAAGACAAGAATTGAACTTGGATAAAAATTCAATATTTGACATTAAAAACAAGGAAAAAAAACAATGGTCCAAATTATGTCTTTATAGCAAAAATTAAAGTACTTAAAGAATCACCAAGTATCCAAGCAAATAAAAAAAAAAATACTTAAAGAATCACCAAGTATCCAAGCAAATAAACCCAGAA